CCATTCAAGCACAGTAATCCCACGGGTTGAACCAGGTTTTGGTGCTTTTGGCAGTGTGGGCAGGTGCCAAGTCCTGCTGGAAAATGAGGTCAGCATCCCCATAGAGCTCGTCTGCGGAAGGAAGCATGAAGTGCTCCAAAATCTCCTGGTAGACGGCTGCGTTGACCCTGGACTTAATGAAGCACAGTGGACCAACACCAGCAGATGACATGGCTCCCCAAATCAACACAGACTGTGGAAACTTCACACTGGACTTCAAGCATCTTGCAGTGTGTGCCTCTCCATTCTTCCTCCATACTCTCGGTCCTTGGTTTCCAAATGAGATGCACAATTCGCTCTCCTCAGAAAAGAGGACTTGGACCGCAACAGACCAGGTCTGTTTTTCTTTAGCCCAGGTAAGGCGCTTCTGACTTTGTTGTTCAGGAGTGGCTTGACAAGAGGAATACGACATTTGAAGCCCATGTCCAGGATCCGTCTGTGTGTGGTGGGTCTTGATGCACTGACTCCAGCCTCAGCCCACTCCTTGTGAAAGTCCCCAACACTTTTGAATGTTTTTTTCCTGACAATCCTCTCCAGTCTGCGGTCATCCCTGCTGCTTGTGCACCCTTTTCTTCCACACTTTTCCCTTCCACATAACTTTCTATTAATGTGCTTTGACACAGCACTTTGGGAACATCCAACTTCTTTTGCCTCTGCCTTTGCTTCTTTTGAGGCTTTCCCTCCTTTTATGGAGGGTGTCAATTATGGTTTTCTGCACAACTGTCAGGTCAGCAGTCTTTCCCATGATTGTGATTCCTACTGAACCAGACTGAGAGACCATTTAAAGGCTCAGGAACCCTTTGCAGGTGTTATGGCTTAATTAGCTGATTAGAGTGGGACACTGAGACTAGAATATTGCACCTTTTCACAATATTCTAATTTTCTGAGATTGTGGATTTGGGGTTTTCATGAGCTGTAAGCCATAATCATCACAATTATGACAAATCACGGCTTGAACTATCTTGCTTTGCATGTAATGAGTCTATCTCGTATATTAGTTTCACCTTTTAAGTTGCATTAGTGAAATAAATGAACTTTTGCACGATACTTTTCGAGTTTCATCTGTACATTCGAAGATGTCGCAGCACTTGTGCTCCATCCAGATCTGCAAGTCTCTCTGCCCCAGTGCCAGATGAGACTTGTAGTGTCTCCATTCACATGTAATCTCTCCACCTGCACAGCCACACAAATTGGTACATGTTACCATGTTCCATCCTAAATATGGGTGCAAAATGAAACGGGTCAGAAAAGTGAATAATTCTTTACACGGTGCTCTAACATTCATACAGTAAATCCAGGGGTGTGGAATTCTTATCGCCCGTAGCCCGGGACATGCAGTTTCGGGCGCCGGGGGAGCAGTTTTTTTTGTACACTTAGCCCCCGCTTTATCAGATCACTTGAATGAAACGAGAAGCGATTCTGTCCACACACCGCCCCCTCCCCCCCCATCTCCCGTGGTTTTCGGGATCCCCCGCTCCTCTGGCAGACCCGAGACCACGGAACATGAGCTCACCATAGAGCCTGCAGAGCAGACGAAAAACGTCCGTTTTTTCGTCTGCTCTGTGTTATCACTGAGACCGTGGCGCCACCTGTCTCAGCTGTCCGGAACTACACAGAACATCAGTTCTGTGTTGGAGGGCAGGTTCCATAAAGAGAACCTGTCACCTCCAAACTATCACTTAGAGGATTTTAAATCCCCATGTGATAGGAATAAAATTAGGTGGGGGTACAAAATTAAAAAAAAAAGTTATAAAAAAGTAAAAAATAAGTATATTAAAAAAAAGTGACAATGTAAAAAAAAAAAAAAAAAAAACCTACCCAGATACACCCCCCCTC